CTGCCAGAGCCTACCATTCACTCTTCATGCACAACATGTAAGTAAAAAGTGGATGATTTCTTAACGTTTTTAGCAGGAATATATTTGTCTGTTTCTGTCTCTCCCCGAACAAAGCCCTAAGCCTGCCAGATAAGTCTCTTTTATCGTTGACAAAATGTTAAATATGATATGCTGTGCTGAATATTATTACTCCCATACAATGGAGGAAAGCGGTAAGAAAAAATGCGCATGATGTAATGAGCTAAGTGTGTTCAATTGGATAACTGGGTGGGTGGCAGGTGTATCCGGCCCACTCCTGAAGAGCTGGAGGATTTCGGTACTCCGGACTTCACTATATACAATGCAGGCCAGTTCCCATGTAATCGTTATACACACTACATGACATCCTCTACTAGTATAGATCTGAACCTTGCTAGAAGGGAAATGGTCATCCTCGGCACACAGTACGCCGGGGAAATGAAGAAGGGTCTGTTCAGTGTAATGCATTATCTCATGCCTAAGCGTCAAATCCTCTCCTTACATTCTGGCTGCAATATGGGAAAAGATGGAGATGTTGCCCTCTTCTTTGGACTGTCAGGTATAGTATCACCATGTCACCTGGTCGCGACATGGTGCCATGCCTGCAAAATGATACGTGCCTAAAACTTACTCTTTGCATACTTAACCCCTTTATATCTTTGTTTTAATGAGCATATATCTGGCCTATATTTATGCCCATTTCTATTTCTTATCATTTGCTATGTTATTGATGAGTCCTATGAATTTTGATGATTCTTGTATTAGGTACCGGGAAGACAACTCTGTCTACTGATCCAAACAGATATCTAATTGGAGATGACGAACATTGCTGGACTGAGACCGGAGTGTCAAATATTGAAGGCGGATGCTATGCCAAATGCATTGATCTCTCAAGGGAGAAGGAACCTGATATCTGGAATGCCATCAAGTTTGGAACTGGTAGCATTCTAAATCTTCTTTAAATTTCATTAACTTAAGTAGGAGGAATACAAAATGATCTATATCAATTGGTTTGAAACTGAAGATCTTATTTTTTGGCATGTTTTAAACGTCTGAACTTATGCAACTGATTGTGCATGGCAGTGCTGGAAAACGTGGTGTTCGAGGAGCACACTCGAGTGGTGGATTATGCTGATAAATCTGTTACAGGTGAATGATAGATCATGAATTCGAACATTTCTTTTGATCACACTTAAGTGAAAAAAATCTTGATGTTGATATTGTTTTCCCTTGCATGCTTTTGCAGAGAACACTCGAGCATCCTACCCCATCGAGTACATTCCTAATGCGAAGATACCATGTGTTGGTCCGCACCCTAAGAATGTTATCCTGTTGGCATGTGATGCATTTGGTGTACTCCCACCAGTGAGCAAGCTGAACTTGGCACAGACCATGTATCATTTCATCAGTGGCTATACCGCTTTGGTAATAATTAGTCACTAAATGCTCTGCTCTTCCTGTTGATAATTTTGATTTACATATGCTAGCTCAGTGCTTGTAGCATTTTGGTAATTGAATTTCTTGATAATCAATGTAGGTGGCTGGCACAGAAGAAGGTGTGAAGGAGCCAAAGGCAACATTCTCAGCTTGCTTTGGTGCAGCATTTATAATGATGCACCCTACCAAATATGCAGCTATGCTGGCTGAGAAGATGCAGAAGCATGGTGCGACAGGATGGCTTGTCAACACTGGCTGGTCAGGTGGAAGGTATGTTTGGCATTGTTGTATGATACGAACAATCCGAGAATTGTAAATCAGAATTTTGTCACCCATTCTCGGGGAAGAAAGTCTTTGAATGTATTTGGTGTTTTGCAGCTATGGTTCAGGAAGCCGTATCAAGTTAGCATACACAAGGAAAATCATTGATGCCATACATTCTGGCAGTCTCTTGAAGGCAGAATACAAGAAAACTGAGGTGTTTGGGCTAGAGATCCCCACCGAGGTTGAGGGAGTGCCCTCTGAAATCCTGGATCCAGTGAACACTGTTAGTATTACCTGCTGCCTTGAATATTTACACCCTTTTTTAGTATTATCTGTTTCTCGCATGTAATTCTAATGCTGTTGTTCTCAAATGCAGTGGTCAAACAAACTAGGCTACGAGGATACCCTGATGAAGCTGGCAGGTTTGTTCAGGAATAACTTTGAGATATTCACTGATCACAAGATTGGAAAGGACAACGAGCTCACAGAAGAGATCCTCGCAGCCGGTCCAAATTTCTAGTCAATCGAGAAGAAGATCATATCTGTATTACGAATAATACTTGGTTGAGAAAAGTGTGATGTTGTTTGTTATGATGATGATGACGATGATGATGATATGTAGTTGTTTCAATAGTTAATTCATAATCAAATATTTACATGCATCAGCTTCTGTTTTGTTCTAGTTCATGCCTGCTGATAAGCTTAACCCGGTATCAGATTAAATAAAAAAAAAGAACACGGCGTTCATAAACATAAACCATCAAACGAAATCGGTTGGTTGATTCTCATTTGATCGAATATATTCTGTACTTGAGCTTTGTATCGGGTTAATGATGGTGTAAGCACGCCAACAAGATGGAACCTGTAGGGCAAACAAGGACTCATGCAATGGTGTCCCCAAAGAAAATCATGAAAGGAAGGTTGGTGCCAAAGTTTTCTTGGAGCAGGCTCACGCTGAATACATCAAAGGTGGATTCTCATTACCGGCATCAGCTGGCAGGGCAGCATAATCGACCACCTCAAGCACTCGATCATTATGTTTGATTCATAAATAAATAAACTTGATGATGTTTCAATTCCTTCTCCACATTTAACCGAAGATATATATATTATTTTATGTTAATAAATGAATATCTGACTGATAAATATGATAATAAATATCTAAATTTTTATTAGTTGAGTAATAAATAAAATATAAATATAATAAAAATCTGACTTGTAAATATCTATCAATCCCTACTTTTTTTTTTCTTCTATTAAACATGTACTTCACTGGCTCCGACACCTAGAGGATATAAAATTCACGGGTCCTTAAAACTATAAAATCCTGCATATAAAATCATTCTAGGTTCTGTCCAAATTAATTTAAGGTTCTTGTCCAACTCATTATTTGCAAGAAGAAAAAGGCAATCCAAAATGTTTTATCTTTATATATATATACTTCTTTTTTTTCTTGTTCAGACAAATGTATGTGTAGTCTGTTAATTTCCTAATTTAATTCGTCTTACCTTCCATTGACAGCATTGCTTTTCATCTATCATAATCTTATTCCACTGATATTTAGCACTCTAATTCTATCCAAAGAAAATCTTCCAATTATATATAATTAGTGACATCGTATAAATTACAAGTCCTATTAATTAATATGCCACATCATTTTTTGATTTTGATGTGAGAAAAAAGCTTGATATGGGTGGTCAAATCTTATTCTAGTCTTGATGCGGATGATTAAAATAAATAAATAAATAAATATGGATAGATAAAATTTTAATTTAGAAGAGGATATAAATAATCAAAGAAGAAGAAAAATCAAGAAATAGGAATTTATTATACTTTCTAAATAATATAATAAACCAATACCATTATTAGAAAAAAAATCCCAGTTTTCATTTGTTTTTTAATCTTTTTATCTTTCACTTTAAAGCAATCCATTTAGTAAATATGGGTATTTATGCATTGAATATTTTAAAATTTCTCACCTATCAACATCTTAAAAAATAAAATAAAGTACAAATAATATAATTGGTAAAAAACTATATATGATCCCATAATATATACAAGGGATACATAATGAAAATCATTATTTATTATACCATATTTAGTAGATCTTTTTTTATGTGATAATGTCACTCTAGCAATTTATAATGGCATTTCATTAATAGTGAAGTAAATGCACTTGGATATTTATCTAGAGTGGAGTGTCCTTATAAATTAATTGGGTATCAAAGTCTTGATCACAGTCCTTGAGAGAAACATTGCTTTTTTAAGAGATAGCCAATCATCTTCCAATAGTTAAGTAATTTCCACAAAAATAATAATTCAATATATGGAAAAATATATTTTGGCACTACATGTATATGGAATTTATGTTCTTTAGATATGCTAGATGAAGTTTCCCTAAAATGATAGTGTTAGTGAAGTAGCTTAAAAAAATAATATGAATTGAGTAATAAATGGGAAATATATAAACCAAGCACAAAGAAAAAAAAGATGAAAAATAATAGAAAATCCCTTGAATTATTAGAATGAAAATGAAAGATAGAACATACCAATTGGGAAATAGGAAAATGAAATGTCTCTTATGAGTGTTTGTTTTTATGTTATAAATTAGTTTTTTTTATTTGAAAAAATATTAAATTAATATTTTTAAGTAATTTTTGAATGGTCTTGATATGCTGATGTAATAAATAAAAAAAAATAAAATTTAAAAACTATTATCTTAATATATTTTTAATTAAAAAAAACTCTAACTAATGTTTTTTTCTTCATATTTTTGAAAATAGAAAGGTAAATTTTTTTTGACAGGGAATATCATGGTCAAATTATACTATTTTATTATGAGAAACGAACTTAAAGTTAATATATACACATACTACGGTAAGAGAGATCAACACATCTCTCTCGAAAAAACAAAATTGAACCACATCATTTTAATAATTTTCTTTAAAAAATATATATATCTATAACGAAAAAAATTATCCCAGCATGTTTAAATAGACAATAATAGCACCTTGGAAGAATAAACTTTGGGATCGAATAGACCATCTTGTATTTGGAGTTACAAAAGGCCTAAAATGGCTCTGGGTCTTGTACACCCTGGAAAAGCAAAAGGCAAGCCATCCATGCACGCACGACTTATCTATCACAAATGGGCAGCTTAGTGTTCGGTCCTTTCTATTCTTTTTAATTCAATTCAACAGCTAATCTAGCCGGAAATTGCTCCCCTCCATCATCTCATTATTAGTATATTTTCATGGTGTTTTCTCTTCTCTTCTCTTTTCTTCTCCTCTTTACCTTTTTTTTAAAGAAAGAACAATAACACCACGTACATACACATCATTGCTGTGTGTGTTAGCACTTTGCTGCACGTTCCTTCCTTGAAACCTCAACCACCCTCTTTCTGTGTCTTTCCTAAATAAAAGGGTACCCAGGTACGAAGTATTGGGTTCCATGTCTTGTAATTACTGGCTACATTGTATGTAGTTTGGTCGATAAATTGTTAAAGAACGAGACAGGGGAAAAGGAGTTGCATGATATAATACATATTCTTGATTTGGAGAAACGAAGAAGAAAGAAACAATAATAATATGTTGCAGAGAGCTGCAAGCAATGCTTACTCATGGTGGTGGGCAAGCCACATTCGAACAAAGCAATCCAAATGGCTCGAGCAGAACCTTCATGGTAATTATCATTATTGTTAGTGTTTAGTTGCATTTGCGTAGTCATTTTCTTACTTGAATCGATGAACATTTCTGTAAATCGTATTCTGTAGCAGTCACAGTCATTTTTTGTTTTTGGTATATGGGATTTGACAAAACGTTGTTGGGGGAATTTACAATGGAAAAGGGAATTAAATATGAATGATTCATCTTTTTATCATCAGAATTCATTATGTTTATGATTTCTTCCATCTGATTTCTGCAGAGCTCATTCTCATTGAGGAAATTTAGTTTTTTTTTTTTTTTTTTTTTATGATGAAGGCAAAGGCCAAATCCAAATGCAGCATTAAACCTTCATCCATGAATCAACTGATTTTAACATGCATAAATTCAATGTGTATAGCATGCCTTATCAATACAAATTATCAACTGCAGACATGGAAGATAAGGTTCAAAGCGTAATCAAACTCATTGAAGAAGATGGAGACTCTTTTGCCAAGAGGGCGGAAATGTACTACAAAAAGAGACCAGAGCTGATACACTTCGTCGAAGACTCTTACCGGGCTTATAGGGCATTAGCTGAACGGTATAACCACTTATCAACAGAGCTACAAAATGCCAACAATACCATTGCTTATGTTTTCCCAGAAAAAGTCCAGTTTGCAATGGAAGAAGACGAAGATGAAGCCCCATCATCTAAATTTGAAAATAAGCTAGCAGAAGTCTCGAGAGCAAATATTCCGAAGGTTCCGAAGATTCCGAAAGATGTAAAGGGTCTCTTCACACCTGGTTCGAAGAAGTTGCAATCAAAGAAGTCAATGAAGGGAGCAAGTAATGCTACAGTTTCTAAGTCTGGTTTGAGCAAATCAGAAGGCCTCCTGGAGATTGACAAGATTCAGAGACAAATCCTGGCTCTACAAACTGAGAAAGAGTTTGCGAAGAGTTCTTATGAGGGCGGACTTGCGAAGTATTGGGAAATTGAACTGCAAATCAAGGAAATGCAAGAGAAGGTTTGTAATTTGCAAGATGAATTTGGTGCAGGCATTGTCATTGAAGACGAGGAAGCTCGGACGCTGATGGCGTCGGCAGCCCTGAAATCATGCCAAGAGACATTGGCTCAATTGCAGGAGAAACAAGAGAGATCTGCAGAAGAAGCAGTAGAAGAGCGCAAAAGAATTACCAATGCCCGGGAGAAGTTGAAGTCTCTCAAGGATGAGTTTATGCATGGCGAGATCAATCCAGAAAATCCTCGAGCCAAAGATGACCCTATAAAAGCAGTGGAAGGATTGGAAAGCATACACGAACAAGTGAGAGGTACAACAGAAGAGAAACAGGATATAGAGATGTTGCGTGAGAAGATTAAGGAAAACCTCGATGTTGGGTCTAATGCAAGTGTCACTGCAGCAGAACTTGTTGAGAAGATCGATGAACTTGTAAACAAGATCATTAACTTGGAAGCTTCAGTTTCATCACAGACAGCTCTTATACAGAGGTTAAGGACGGAGACAGATGAGCTACAAGCAGAAATTCGAACTTTAGAAGAAGACAAGGCAACATTAATCAATGGAAAAAATGATTTGAGGGAACAGCTAAGTGAAATGGAGGAGAAGTTGCATGGAATCCAGAATCTAAATCAGAGTGTCGAGGATCAGAATAACAGTCTCCATGCACATTTTACTGAAGCACATTCTAGTATCGATCACCTCTCTGCGAAATTACTTTGTGTAAAATCAGATGATGAATTCGATGTCAAACCAGAAACAATGTACAGATCTCTGGTAGAAGTTGAATCTCAAGAAGCCGCACTCAATCCCGATGATAGCATTGAGAAACCGCGGAATGTGAAGACAAAAGAGCATCTCAAGGTTTCAGGTCAGTCCCACGAAGACTTCAAGGGGTCAGAAGGTGCACTGAATCCTGATGATGGTCTTGGGGAACAACAAAATCAGAAGCCACACCATGAGCTCAAGTTTTCATATTCTTCACAGAAAGGGAAGGAAACTCCTGCAGAAGTCAGTTGGTTAGCAGATTTCAAGGAACAAGAAGAAAAAACGAACGATGCTGATGGTTCCATGAACTTCACAGAGAATCAAGGAGAAAAGGAGGAGATAAAAAAACATGGGCAAAATTCAAGTCAACCCCAGAAAACTAGAGACCTCAACAATTCCATGGAGGAACTTCCTGGCCTGGAAATTGAAGAAAAAATTCTTAAGAAAGATTCACCTTCTTTGATGGATGATCTCAATGTTGAAATACAGGAACAGGAAACAACGCTAGTTGACGAGCCGGACTGGAAGCAGTTGTTCATGAATGGTATGGAGAATAGAGAAAGAGCTCTACTTACGGAGTATACTTCAATCCTTCGGAATTATAAGGAAGTAAAGAAGAAGCTTAGTGAAGCAGAGAAAAAGAATGGGGATAGCCTCTTTGATGCAACGGTGCAGGTAAGAGAACTGAAGAGTGCTAATGCAAAGAAGGATGAACAGATTCAATTTTTACGTCAGAAGCTGATCCTTCTTCAAGCAGGTTTGGGTGAAGATAGTGAATTAATAAAATCGACGGTGACAGAATGCCCAACGACAGAGAAAGAAGTAACAGAAGATTTAATGGACCAACCAGAAACTATTTCCGAAATCGAAAAACGATTCCGGATGAGCATTGATGAAGTTCTAGAGGAGAACTTGGATTTCTGGTTAAGGTTCAGTACTGCATTCCAACAAATACAGAAATTTGAAACTGAAGTCCAAGATTTACAGTCTGAGCTGCTCAAATTAGAGGAAAAGAAAAGGATGGAAGATGGAAGTAGTCATGCAGAATATTCTCTGAAATCGGATGCGAAGCCTCTATACAAGTACCTCAGAGAGATACACACTGAACTGACGGTCTGGCTAGAGAAAAGCATGCAGCTGAAAGATGAAGTGAAGGGCAGATTTACATCCTTGTGTGGCATTCAAGATGAAATAACGTCTGCTTTGAAGGAGAGCGCTGAAGATGACGAGTTCAAGTTTACAAGCTATCAAGCTGCAAAGTTCCAAGGTGAGATTTTGAACATGAAACAAGAGAATAACAAGGTTGCAGATGAATTGCAGGCAGGCTTAGATCACATAACGACACTCCAGCTTGAAGTTGAAAGAACATTGGCAAAATTGAACGAGGAATTCAAGCTTTCCGGATCAAAGAACCGTCAAAATATCCAGCTGTCACACTCAGTAAGTCGATCTCGAGTTCCTTTGCGGTCATTCATCTTTGGCACCAAACCCAAAAAGCATAGGACTTCCATCTTCTCTTGCATGCACCCTGCACTGTATAGGAGACATTTTAGATCAGGACCTAATGCATAAATTAGTTCTATTTGAATTTCTGGCTGCTTTTATATTTTCGGATGAGTTCAGTTCTTTCGTATCCATTGTTTTTTTCCATGTATTATTGTATTCTTTCAGAAGCCAAAGCTTCCTTTCCTGTTTTATCTTTATCAGGGTATGTTATCTCTGTGCCATGGATGCTTACCATTAATCAATCAAAACAAGAAGAATTTTTAAGCTTTTTCGAGCAGTATGATTTGAATTCATTTGATCTTGTCCCTGTGGTGCCATGTTTCCATTTTAACCTTGTAAAATCAAACAACTAGACAAGAAATTTTCTTGCGTTTCTATCAAACTATCCTTTCCCCATTATGCTGACTCCTGTGTCATCCATCTATTGCATATCTAAACCGTTCTGTGCATCTTGTGTCATTCATGGTCCCGAAAGAACACAGATTTTTTATTCTTTCAACCCCGGAAAAACAAAAACAACACATAGTTTGGCAGTAAATGACACGAATTCTCAAGCAGTTGGAATGAGGGACATCCCTTTGAACAATTTTGTGGAAAGAAGATGCAGGTGATGGGTAGTGTATTGACGCTGTCCTGCTTCACGGTCCTTCCAGAGGAAATTAACTGCCTTGCTGAAATCCTTGGCAAATTCATTCCAAAAAATGCAAAATTTATAAACTACATAAGCATAAGAAAGTGATACGGGTAGCTATGATCGCTTTGTTGTGGATCTCTACCATGTGAATTGCCTAGCATGGTTATTTATGAAACGATGTTGCGCAAGTCATCAGCCAGACAAAAAACCTCACGATCTGATTAGATCACCCTCAAATTTGATCAAGAAGTTCCATTGACTTGGAATGCCTCCAAATCAGATCGTTTAAGCTAATTTTGATTTTTGTTCCTCTTTTTATGATTTATAACAAACCCCATTATTCTTTATTCTCTGCTGCGTCGAAAAGTTAAAGGTCATCATGGCCTGCAACCATCTGATATTGAATGTAAATATTCAGGGGCTCACTGATCGCTGCACCCCAGGCTCATATAAATCAAATTCGGTTTGCTGATCTCCTAAAACAGGATGCGTCACTGATAATCACATGAATTGATTGTTATAACCCTTCCAATACAATATGAATCATGGGCAGAGGACACTTCTTTCATCGATGAACAATTGAAATAGAATCAACTATGGAAATCATTGGCCAACAACGTACCTGCTGAGACATTGTCATTAAGAACCGCACTCTGCACAGAAATCTACATTGCAAAACACAATCAAGAAAAACATGGGCATGTGACAACATTTGTTTTCAATTCAACTAGTTACAATACCTTTGCCATAATTACCTAGTGGCAATCCGTATACAGATTGCTTTTCCACAAACGTACCACTCTTCCGCTCCCCTGTTCGACAAATATGTAAAACATCTATAGACAACTTTATACATGAGAAAGCGTTAATGGCAGGACTCATGGATGGGCTAGGATCACGGCTGTTGCAGTGCACCAAAAGAAACCTCTGATACTACCTTAGCTCCCCTTCCTCAGGCAATAAAGAGGCCTTTGTGATTCCTCAGCTCCTGCCACGGGAAAAATAAAATAAAATGCTGACCCTTGATTGGGTAATCTTTCTTTCCACCGAATCTATCGTGCTTGTTTCACTGGGCCAAGAAAACCGAATCAAGCAGAGTTTTTACAAAAGATGGTTCGCATTCAGAAAGATGTGTAGCCTTCATGATCCTCAAGCTACTTTCCGAGACAGAAAAGATATGTTTTCATAATTTTTTTTATTTTAAAAATACAAAAATTTCTTTTAAAATTATTTTAAATATAAATTTATTTTATATTTATATCTTCTTAACTAAATAAATTTCTCTCTTCTGTTTTTTTGGGATGAAAGAGGCTGGAAGTAGTCAAGGAAGGACAAAGTTTATATGCATTCTATGATTCAATTAAACTTGGAGAATACAAGATTTGCAGTTTTTCGGGTTTTTAATCAGCGTTAACAACACTATTTCTTGTATTTTCTAGTCAATTTTAATAAACACATTTATCATCTTTTTAAAATCTTATAATATCATCAAATAATGATATTATAATTTTTTATATTAAAAATTAACTTGAAATCCTATTACTAATAATTAATTAGTTAATTAGATTGTATAACACGTAGCTTTAGGATATTAATAGTGTTATTTGATTTACTATCAATCAACTTGTCATATCGATAAGACCTTGATGCATTCATTTATTTCACAAGACTCTGACTACGTTTAAACCAATCGTGTTACTCAAATGACTTCAAGTCATTGGTTATTTCAACTTTTTGCTATGAAAAAGTAAACAAATTATTAAAATAAGTTAAACTCAATTGCTTGTAACTAATATCTTTTTCATTAATATAATTTTTTGAATTTAATTTTATAAATTTCAAAATTAATAATTATATAAATCTTCAGTAATTATCATATTAACAACTACAAAATTAACAAAAACATAAATAAATCAAGGTGGTGGCCAAGTGGTAAAGACTTGGGATCAAGAGGTTTGTTTCCTCTGTGGTCTCAGGTTCGAGTTCTTGTTTGCTCATATGATGGCTACTAGAGGCTTACATGGTCGTTAACTTCAGGGCCCGTGGGATTAGTCGTGGTGCGCGCAAGTTGGCCCGGACACCCACATTAATCTAAAAAAACATAAATAAATCTCTTGATCTCATCCTCAACCTATCATATCACCTTTGTTGCTTTCAAATATTTGATAGATGGTGACCGGAAATGAAAGTGGCATAATAATGCTAATCGGAGAGTCAGAAAGTTTTCTTGGATACTAATCAATGTAGCTAATCACATAGGACCCATTAACTTGAAGTTTTCCTTCCTTAGATCATCACATCCGCAATGCTCATCAAAAATCCAAATTCACACTGTATGGCACTTTCGTTCTTTTCGTTTAGATACGTTAGGATTTCGTTTTAAAATTATGTTTAATTTAAAAAAAAATAAATTAATGTTTGTTAATATTTTTTAATGATTTTCCAAACTGATATAAAAAACTAAAAAAAATATTTTAAAAATAAAAAATATTTTTAAAAATATCATGCATCATAATATTAACACAAACTTTCTTCCATGTTTTTTTTAGGTGCGTTTTAAATATATTTTTAGTTTAAAAACAAATTAAATTAATGATTTTAATATAGAAAATATATTTTTAAAAATAATTACTATATACCACGATATCTAAAATAATTACCATGTTTTTAATATCTAAAAATAATTACCATGTATCTCGTAAAAAAAACGAAAAGAAAAAAGAAGACTATCCTCTAGTGAGCGGCGGTGGGTGAAAAATATGAGCGGCAATGTTCGTTTTTTTCAATAACCCTAGATCTAATAATGTAGACATAATGCATTTTAGTTTTTTTTTTCTTTCTAAAGTTATGTTGTTTTATTTTCTGTGAGTTTTTTTTTTTAGTTTTTTCCCCTCTTTTTTTGTGTGTCCTTTAATAGTTTTATAGTGCTGTAAAGATTTTTTTTTTCAAGATTAGTGATTGGTGTTTGGATTTTGCTGTGAAAATAAATAGTAATTGAAAGATTGTAAGATAAAAGTGTTATTGATGGATTGGTAAAACATTAATGTTCCAAGAATACTCTTTATCTTGTTGGTTGTATAGTTTTTCTTAATATTTTTTAATAAAGTATGTCATTCTATACTAGTAAAATAATATTATTTTATATTATTTTCATTAATAATGTGAAGAATATTAAAAAAAATTTATGAGGAGTGTAGTTTAATTGATCAGATTTTAAATTTATTTTTTAAAAATTATTATTTTAAATTCTACAAACCTCAAGATTATTAAAAGCTAATATAATTAATCATTTTAAAATTCGTAAAATTAGTCAAGATATATATATAATAATCTAAACATCCATGTTAATTAAAAAAATATTAAAAAGAATCATGGTCGAAAAAGAATTAAGAATTATAAAAAAATTATATAGATTTATATTTATTATATAAAAAAATAAATATATTATTTTGAATGAAAAAGAATTAAGAATTGTAAAAAAATTATATAGATTTATATTTATTATATAAAAAAATAAATATATTATTTTATAATTTGATAAAAAAAAAAAACTATTACGGGGCAATCGTAATTTTTCAAATCTTATATAGAAAACAGATTGAAGTATTGGAAATTTTTTATTTATTTTAATTTACTGTACCAATGAAAATTATCTCTTAAAAAAATCCAAGCTCGCTTTAGATGACATGACCAGCAACATTTTCCCCGGCCACCATGACCACTCATGGAATCTTCAACCGGAAGAAATCCTTGTCATCATTCTCCCTAAAAGTTAGAGAAAAAAAAGAGAGATTAGTTTGATATCTTTACTTAGTAAAGTTATAAAGCAGAATAAATTTATAATAATATTTCTTTTTTTCCCAGTCGAGAGGCTTTCCTGAACCTGACCATGATCGTCAAAACGACACCCTCTTCCGCGTGCCGTCAATCCATTGAATCAGCCTTCTGTCATCACAAATCCAAACGGAGATTTTTTTTTAATAATTAATTCGATGGTTAAATAGATTTGTTTTGCTCTTTTAACTTAATAAAATTATTAATCGTTTGTAAATATATATTTTTAAAATAATTTAAAAATTTAATCCCACTTACTTAACTAATGGAGGTCAATCGGAGGATTTTATAATGTTTAGATTGTGTTTTTTTAGTTTTAAATGTATTTTTAAAAAAATTAATTTTTTAAATTTTTTATTGTTACTAGATTGTTTTGATGTGTTAAATAAAAAAAATAAAAAATAAATAAATTATTATTATTATTTTAAAGTATTAACAAATAAAAAAATATTTTAAAAAATAATATATGTCTCAACTACAATTTTAAGAACTATTATATATTTATGTCATATTGAAAAATAGATATAAAAAGAGAGGAAATTATATTCAATTCTTTTAACTTAATGAAATTATTAATCTTTTGTAAATATATATTCTTAAAATTATTTAAAAAACTAATCCCGGTTAGCTAAGGCAAACAAAAAAAAAAAAGATTTTTAATCTGTTTTTTTTCTTATTCGAGTCAATTGACCCCGACGGCGTTACCTGAATTTAATTTTGATCAATCTCCCGATCCGTACTTGTAACTAAGAATGGAACAGCTCACTTACTCACTCTGCTTCGGAGTTTAGACTGA